ATCTCTAAATTATTCTAAATTTAAAACAATCCAACCTATATAATTCAAATGTAAAATATTAAATCTTATTCTTAAATATCATATATATATATATCTAAATATATTTCCAATCAACATTATCCTAATTGTTTAAATACCACAAAAGCATACCCTAAATAATATACATCATTATAATTAACCTATACAATATCAACTAATTTATAAAATTTAACCTATACAATATCAATTTCAAACAACAAATTAAACAAAACAAAACAAACAAACACAAAAACGCAAACAAAGACAAAAACAAAGACAAAAACAAACACAAAAACAAAAACAAAGATAAACACAGACACAAAAACGCAAACACAGGCACACACAAACACACAAACACACAAACACACAAACACACAAACACACAAACACACAAACACACAAACACACAAACACACAAACACACAAACACACAAACACAAACACAAACAAACAGGCACAATCAGACAGACACAGAGACACAAAGACACAAAAACACAGAGACACAGAGACACAAAGACACAGACAAACGCAGACACAGACAGACGCAAACAAACAGACAGACAGACACAAACAGACAAACACAGACAGACAGACAGACACAAACAGACAACCAGACAGACAGACACAAACAGACAGCCAGACAGACAAACAGACAAAGAAACAGATACCAGAGACAGAGAGACCAACAGACAAAGAAAGACAGAGAAAGACACCAACAAAGAGACAGAGACAAAGAGACACACCTCCGGCGCGCAGCGCGCCGGATTCTGATGTCAACATGCAACAGGCTTCACCTGCGCACGTGCACGCGTCCGACTCCGAGCCCGGGAGCTGTGACGCAGACACACAGACACACAGACACACAGACACACAGACACACAGACACACAGACACACAGACACACAGACACACAGACACACAGACACACAGACACACAGACACACAGACACACAGACACACTGACACACAGACACACAGACACACTGACACACAGACACACAGACACACAGACACACAGACACACAGACACACAGACACACAGACACACAGACACACAGACACACAGACACACAGACACACAGACACACAGACACACAGACACACAGACACAAAGACACACAGAAACACAGACACACAGACACACAGACACACAGACACACAGACACACAGACACACAGACACACAGACACACAGACACACAGACACACAGACACACAGACACACAGACCAACAGACACACAGACACACAGACACACAGACACACAGACACACAGACACACAGACACACAGACACACAGACACACAGACACACAGACACACAGAGACACAGACAGACAGACACAAACAGACAGACACAGAGACACAGAGACACAGAGACAAACAGACAAACAGACAAACAGACACAGACACAGACACAGACAGACACAGACACAGACAGACACAGACAGACAGACACAGACAGACAGACTACAAACAGACAGACACAGACAGACAGACACAAACAGACAGACACAGACAGACAGACACAAACAGACAGCCAGACAGACAGACACAAACAGACAGCCAGACAGACAGACAGACAAAGAAACAGATACCAGAGACAGAGAGACCAACAGACAAAGAAAGACAGAGAAAGACACCAACAAAGAGACAGAGACAAAGAGACACACCTCCGGCGCGCAGCGCGCCGGATTCTGATGTCAACATGCAACAGGCTTCACCTGCGCACGTGCACGCGTCCGACTCCGAGCCCGGGAGCTGTGACGCAGACGGGCTGCAATAACGCGCGTGCGAGCTCTCGGCTACAGACACACAGACACACAGACACACAGACACACAGACACACAGACACACAGACACACAGACACACAGACACACAGACACACAGACACACAGACACACACACACAGACACACAGACACACAGACACACAGACACACAGACACACAGACACACAGACACACAGACACACAGACACACAGACACACAGACACAAACAGACAGACACAGAGACACAGAGACACAGAGACACAGAGACAAACAGACAAACAGACACAGACACAGACACAGACAGACACAGACACAGACAGACACAGACAGACAGACACAGACAGACACAGACAGACAGCCAGACAGACAGACAGACAAAGAAACAGATACCAGAGACAGAGAGACCAACAGACAAAGAGAGACAGAGAAAGACACCGACAGAGAGACAGAGACAAAAAGAGACACACCTCCGGCGCGCAGCGCGCCGGATTCTGATGTCAACATGCCACAGGCTTCACCTGCGCACGCGTCCGACTCCGAGCCCGGGAGCCGTGATGCAGACGGGCTGCAAGAACGCGCGTGCGAGCTCTCGGCTGCGCGTGCCCCAGTTGCACGCGGCCGCTGGCCGCTTGTCCCCTGGCACCCTCGCCCAGTGGAGCGAGCCAGTGGGAAACGGTTTGCGCTTGTCTCGGCGCTGCCCCGCTGCTCCCGCGGCCAGGAGGTGGTTGCAGGACTGGGCACGCTACCGGCCCGGTTTGGATTGGTAGTTTGGATCGGTGTTTTGGAGGTTAGGGGGTGGTTTCCCATTCAACTTCAACATGATCTAGGGGTTCAAACCCCCAAACCACCAGTCCAAACCAGCAATTAGGGGTACGTTGAGGCGGGTGCCAAAAAAGGGACAAGCTCTCAAGGTCCAGATCTTACAGAGACCGCGCCGGCAAGCCATGTTTTACAACTCAGGCACCAACATATTTTATCATCTCATACGTATCAAAAAATGTTTTCTCGTCGCATGCGAAAAGCACGCTGCCGTTCTCCAAACACAGGTCGCGAGACGCACTGAGGGCCGGGCTGGTCGCAAGAAGGTCACGCCAAAGAGTCAGTGAAAGGCGGTCGCCTGAGCAAGGTGAGAACGGATCCGCGGGCTGTTGGCCTCAAAAGATACATCCACACACGCAGTTGTTGCAAGCGCAAGCGAAAACGCGATCGACCAGAAAACATCCTGGGTGCAAGCAAAGCCGAACTGATTTCGCCCAAAGCATGGGGAAAAACACCACTGGTCGCAACAATCGGCCGCGGCTCACAGCTTCTCGCATCGCCAAACTCTCGGAAGATGGGCCAAGATTTCAGCCAAAATTGCTACGGACAGGCAGATATATGCCCCGACTCTTTATCTGGAAGACACAACGGCTTCGTTCAACGGCTACGGATGGGGAGACACAACGACTTCGTTCAAAGCCCGGACCATTTTTCCGAAATATCCCGGATATTTCGATAGTCGCGCTCCAGACCATTTTTCCGAAATATTCCGGATATTTCGACGATAGCATTTCCCGAAATATTTGGAATGTTTCGGGAAAATGGTCCTTAAAATATTCGGAATATTTTAAGAAAATGGTGGATGGCTGCGATTCCCGGACCGTTTTCCCGAAATATCTAGAATATTTCGGGAAATTGGTCCCCACAAAAGATGAAGCCACTATGTCTTCCGCACATATGCCCGGGGTAGCCCGGACAGATTTGGGCGAGCGATCCGCAGGAATTATGAAGCGGTTACATCTTCCAGGGGCAGTCCGGACCAATTTTCCGAAATATCCTGGATTTTTCGGAAAAGCGGTCCGGGAAAACGCGCGCAAGTGCGACGAGCAAGTTTCACGGTTTCGTTTTGGGCTGTTGGCCTGCAAAGATCCATCCACACACGCAGTTGTTGCAAGCGCAAGCGAAAACGCGATCGACCAGAAAACATCCTGGGTGCAAGCAAAGCCGAACTGATTTCGCCCAAAGCATGGGGAAAAACACCACTGGTCGCAACAATCGGCCGCGGCTCACAGCTTCTCGCATCGCCAAACTCTCGGAAGATGGGCCAAGATTTCAGCCAAAATTGCTACGGACAGGCAGATATATGCCCCGACTCTTTATCTGGAAGCTACGCATGGGGAGACACAACGACTTCGTTCAAAGCCCGGACCATTTTTCCGAAATATCCCGGATATTTCGATAGTCGCGCTCCAGACCATTTTTCCGAAATATTCCGGATATTTCGACGATAGCATTTCCCGAAATATTTGGAATGTTTCGGGAAAATGGTCCTTAAAATATTCGGAATATTTTAAGAAAATGGTGGATGGCTTTGATTCCCGGACCGTTTTCCCGAAATATCTAGAATATTTCGGGAAATTGGTCCCCACAAAAGATGAAGCCACTATGTCTTCCGCACATATGCCCGGGGTAGCCCGGACAGATTTGGGCGAGCGATCCGCAGGAATTATGAAGCGGTTACATCTTCCAGGGGCAGTCCGGACCAATTTTCCGAAATATCCTGGATTTTTCGGAAAAGCGGTCCGGGAAAACGCGCGCAAGTGCGACGAGCAAGTTTCACGGTTTCGTTTTATAGAGTAAATATATAAATTAATATAATTAGCATTATTAAATTAATACAATTGAAAATAAAATATTATTTGGTTATTAATATTCCTAATATAATAATTACAAACTAAGAAAATCTAAAAATTCATAAATATTCATTATTTATATTAAATATAAATATAGTTATCAATAAATAAAAATATGTCAATTCTATAAATAAAATCATCAAAACAATATAATCTGTGTTTAAAAAAAAAAAAAAAAAAAAAAAAAAAATCAAAATTATATTATTTTATAAAAATAAATATTAAAAAAAAAAAAAAAAACTAAAAACATAATAATCAATAATAATTGAAATTATATGTATCAATAAATCAAATTATTTCAATTCTATAAATAAAATCATCAAACAACAAATCAAAATTCTATGTTTTTTTTCTATAAATAAATTAAATTACCTTCAACAAAATATTATATTTATTCAAAAGTAAAATTCATTTATTTATATAAATAATATATTCAATTATTAAAGCAAATATTTCCTAAATTCCGATAAAATTCATAACCAATATATATTAATACATTTAAAATATATTTATTCAAATTATAATTAGTATTTTTTATTTAAACAAATATTTGGAAAAAAATGTGTTTTAGTAAATGATGGTTGGTTCATTATCTTGTGAGGATCTCCATTTCAGAAGAGCGACTGCATCGGCAGGGTGGAGAAATATGTATGAAGGTAGTACATTTCACTTCCAGGCTCACCTTCAAAGCATTGATGCTTACTGATGCAATTTGGGCTGTGAAAATAGGGGAGTGAAACCCCAAGAAGAGTCACCAAGCTCAGAATGGTAAAGCCGCTTGCGCTGGGTCAGGCAGACAGAGCATGAGTTAGGATATCTGATGGATCGCCTGAGGATTCCTGCCAGCCAAACAAACATCTCAAATCTGAAGGAGCAGTCGTTCGGGATCTGCTCAGAATGGTAAAGCCGCTTGCGCTGGGTCAGGCAGACAGAGCATGAGTTAGGATATCTGATGGATCGCCTGAGGATTCCTGCCAGCCAAACAAACATCTCAAATCTGAAGGAGCAGTCGTTCGGGATCTTGGGGATCTCTGGAAATTGTCTGGGGTGAATGACAATTCTGTCACCAACAATTCATGCATGCCTGCATTAGAATCTCCAGGCAGAGGGCATGAGAAGGGAAGAAGGCCTAGCATCAAGTCCCCTGTGAACCGCGCCGAACCTGCAGCTGGTGTTCCATGGAAGTCGTGGCTAGATCCCGACAAAGGAGTCATATCCCAAAACCACGCGGGATGGAAGTCGACCTCCAAGTTCCCTCGGCTCAAGGCCTTGCCCACACCCCGCTCCACATCTCAGCCCTGGCCTCGATCAGTGGCGCCCTCGCACGGTTGCCGTCGCCTTCCTGGCGGAAGCGCAGGAAGCCCGGGAATCGGATGGTTTATTCTAGTAGAGGAACCCTTTTCCAAAGAAGGGTGAGAAAGGGCACTGGGGAGCTGGAATTGGACCCCTGAGGATTTGATGCATGCCTCGCAGTGTGAACGTGCTCTGCAGTCGGCGACTCCCCTTGCAAATGTAGTGGGAGGGAAAACCACGGAACGTCAGCCACTTGGGGGAATGAGTGTTAGTCCATACTCTTATTTCCTCACTTAGATTCGGCAAACACCATGACGCGCACCATGACCCTGACTGGCTTTGTTCGTCCCTTGCATGCTTGAGCGTGTCTGCTTCAAATGATGGAAGCTACTGTCAGACACCTAAGCTTGGATTGAAAATAGGGTGCCTGTCTCAGAGGAAGATTGGTAGCTGGCATCAACCCTTGCGTCGTCGCAACACCACTCAGAAGACCCAGCCTCGCAAAGAGACTTGTACGTCTGCGACCTCAGCAAAGCTTTGTCCAGTGGTCTCAACGTGCAGCGAGGTCGGAAATGCATTGCTGGGTGCATCTAGCAGGGATTTGGCAGCGTAAGATTCTGAGATGCTTCCACGCACATCCTTTAGCCTACATACCAAAGGCTGAGCTTTGGACGCAGCACACTCTGCTGGAGAGGCAAATGGCACAGGCTCTGCTAGCCTCGAAAGTCGTCACGATCGTCGCAACTCTGCCGACAACGCAAGCTGTCCTTTCGCGTGAGAGGCCCAGTGCTTCATCCTGTCAATGATACCCACCATCATTGAACAGATGACATTCCCTCAAAAACGAAGACCCTCAAAAAAAGAAGACCCTCAAAAACACCCTGACTTTGCATCCCTGAACCGAGAGACCACCAGCGAAAAAGCGCCCCCCGCGAGCGCGCCTCTGCAGCACAGCGCGCGCCACTCGCTCCAGCGACTCCTCACCCCAGATGCCCTTCCACCTCGGCTCCGAATGCCGATGAGGAGTTGTCCCACAATGGGGCAGGGACACAAAGGAGGCGAGGTCCCTTTCCTCAAAGAACAACACAGCTCAAGAGCTACAAAGGGCAATGGAAAGAAGATCACTCCATGCCTCTCTCTGGAAGCGTCGGAGAAGGACTTTGGGGTAAGCCTGATCTCTCGCTGGAACCACTACAAGTTTTGTCAATGATTTGAGGTGAAAGTCAATGCAGCTGTTTGTTTCTACTGACGTGGTGCAATGTGTCTTTCTCAGACATGGAGATCCTCCTTCCAATGCAGATACCCCTTGCATGCGCAAACCAACAGATAGGAGTGCAGTCGTTCTCCTGTCAAGTTGATCGGAGCTTCCTGCATTAATTGACCTGCAGCACCTGTTCAAGGAACCTGCCTTCATTTGGGTACGTCTCAGAATCGAGCGCAGCCGTAGAAAAACGCTCGTAGCATTTCAGTGCGCCAAAGAGTGATTGGTTCGCCACCCGCAAAACAAAACTGGCCAAATGTCCGCCTTTGGTCCTAAAAACTCCACTCAATCCGAGCAAATCACGATGCACCGACCTGGGAACCCAAGGAGCCTCCATGGGCGAGGTCGCATCCCTTCCGTCACGATAAGTTGCCCGACTCCAATGCAGCTTTTCTGGGTGATGGCACAGCGCCCTCCCACGAATGTGAAAATCTGATATGTACATGGCTGCTTCCTGTTTGGGCTCCTCACCTCTTCGAAGTATCCACACGATTTTGACTCGGGGTCAAATTGCCATGGCTCAGAATTGGCGGGGTTCTGCGATGCGCGAGCATGTTTTCCAACCTTTGGGGTTTGAAACTCGGGCCTCAGACCACATCCTGCACCAGTTGGTAGGTGGCCTACAGTATTTCTGGGTCCATCCCAACTGGTGGAGGGGTTTGTCTATCCATGTGTTTGATCCGCAACTCTTTCTAGGCCCCCCGCGCACGCATGAGCCGTGAGCGCAGGGTGAGCCAAAGGCCGTCGCTGCTCAGGAGCCTCAGTGGGCTCAAAATGGCAACGCCTCCCTTTGGCTGTGTTACCCGGGCATCTGCGAAAGGGATCGATCCTTTCCGAAAAGAGCAACGGTCCAAGTGTGGTCAGTGGTTTGTTCCTTTGACTCCTAACGACTCCTAACCAAATCCAGAGAGCAAGGAGCCAACCATGGGCCAATGGTGGGACCAGGCGTCCAACTCCCTTTTTTCCCTCCCGCCTCTGAGCCTGCGGGGGCTTGAAGTTCTGGCAACCTCCGCCGGGAGAAAAAGAAAATTGGGACCGGGTTGCCACGCTCGCGGAGGCCATCAGCACAGAAACAAAGCGCTCCCGGTCAACATAGCGCAAAGGGCCACATGGCTCGCGGTCAAAAACTGAGGGATGGCCGAAAGAAAGCGCCTGCCATGATTGACACCCCAAATCCCATTCAAAGGCGGACCCGCACGTGGCTTGGGACTTTTCCTCCAGATCTTTGTTTTTTTGCGGGCGCACGTGTTCCTGCCTTCAGTGGCTACAAGCCAATCCACCAAGCGTACCTGCCAGCACAGGACCACATTAGGCAAACCACATTTCAGGGGTGACGGCAGCTACGTGGCTGAAACTGAAAAAACAAGCATCAAGAAAAAGCAGAGACATGCTCCGCGTGGACAGAATGCCCCTTTTTGGAGCCCATTGACTCGCAGAGCCTTGAAATCAGAACGGGTCCAGTGTCAGGCGCACGGCAAGCTGGACCTCTTCATACTCCTCGGCATACCTGGTGGGTGTCTGCACTACTTTGGATGCTGCACGACCTTCTCCTCTTTCTCCTTCCTCCGCTTCTTCGTTTTCTTCTTCTGTTTGAGTCTGTGCTGCAACTAAGTGGTCTCCCTGTGTGAAAATCTACTCCACGTCCTCCCAAATCGACCACAGACTGGCCGCAACATTTCATGGATCCACGCGCCAAAGGGCAATCATATGTGCAGCTTCCTAGACCACCCAGATGAGTCACAATCAAAACCCGGTACAAAAATGGTCGACCTAGAACTATGTAAAGAACTAAGAAGGCGGCAGCTATTTATGGCTGGAATCGTCCCTTACTAGCCTTCACTTACCCGGGTTTTGATTGTGGCTCAGATAAGGTCACCCAAACATTGCCCGCTTCTCCATGTCTCCAGCAATGACCTGCGAGGGCTCACTTTGGTCCAAGCTGGTCCAGCACTTCGTCGCTCAGCTTCTGCAACGCCACCCTGGGGTCGTCCTGCGAGTCCAAAAATGCACGCCAATAGGTATGTCTGGGCTTCCTCTTAGCTCCCCCAGGCGCGAAGGCGGCCTTCTCAAAACGACATGCCATGGTTTAATCTAAGAGAACCTGGCGCTGACACCTCATCTGTCTGTTTTTGTTTTTGTTTTTTCTCAGGTGGCAAGAGGGATGCCGGCATCGCCTGCACTTTTGGTGTGGCCACTCAAACACAAGGCCGTTGGGGGAAGCAACTCGCATCTAGATTACGTCCTCCTTCTGTGAGGCGATCCAATCGGCCAAAGGCAGCGCTGAGGGGTCGAAGCTCCAGCAAGGGTCCGCCTGGCTCGAGCTAAGTAAAGACAAATAGCAGGTAAACTAAGGGCACTCTATTGCTCACAACAGCTCCCGCCTCTTGCGAATCCAAATGCCAGGAGGGGAAGGCAATCACCTTCGGCGGGGGCTCCTGCGATGCTCTTGCGCAGCTCATGTATGAGTTCCTCGCCAGTTGTTCTGGGCTTAGGGTCGGTTTGGGGTGGTTCAGGGCCGCCAAAACAATCAGACATGGAGCTTGTCCAGCTCTCTTGCACAATCCCAGGCAGTCCTTTCAGACAAAACCTGTTGCGTACAAGTACGACCTTTTCCGCTTGCAGCATCAGCTGACTTGGTGAGAAAAGGGCGTCCCTTCCAACCCCGGGCAAGTGGTTGGGTTCAGATGGTTAAGGCAGCTTGCAGCGACTTTGGCCAACAGGAGCTGGATACAAATGCGGGAGCCTCCGAAAAATCATGTCTGATGCTGCTTGCCGCGAGAAAAAGAAAACCGATTGCCCCCGACGTTGCCCAATCATCCACTTTATGAGAGCCTTATTATGGGTCAAATCAAGTTCTTGTACCAAATCCGTCTGCCAAGCCCATGCAAAAAATTGAAAGGGTGGACAGGTGGATATGCACGCCTCGTTGATCCCCAACTCAGCTTCAAGTTTTGAAGCTACAGCCTTTTGAAGGCTATCGAGCTCTTCCCCCTTCGACGGTCAGAAACCAGTTTTCTCACCATTGGGGATCCTCCCCGGAGGTTTTCTGCAGCAGCAGCCATTTGAATGACCTCAGCCCAGAACTTCTTTGCCGGTTACAACCCATACCCATTTTGGGCACATGAATATTTTGCACCCAACCATCTTAGACACATGCTCATTGTGGACCCATGACTATGTGGGACCTATGACTGAAAGTGGACCAAAACGAGAAAGCCAGAAGGTCAAAGTTCGGCTTGGGACTGAGAAACTCCCCGCACCGAGCTTGCTGCTACGAAAAACAACTGGGAACGAAGGAGTGAAGCCATCAATCAACTCATGGACGGTTGGCATGGGGTCACTCTCAGATTGGGTACGAGTGGTTGTTTGCACTGGGAGCCGTTGATGGGCATCATCTACAACAGTAGATTCATTTCCACCAAATGTTGTTGAGGGTGTTCAAAACCAAAATCCGTACTTTCATGCGAGTTGTCTCCAAAAAGGATCTGAATCCGAACTGAGGGTGTTCCACCCGGCAAAATCCAAATACCAAAACTCCAAACACGGGCGTTCCAACCCGCACGCCAAGCATTGATGAGACGCTGGGCGCCCAGGCGTCCACCTCTGTTGCCAGCCCGCGGATTGGTCCTTGGACGCCAGCACCTCAAGTTTTCGGCGTGTCGCCGAATCAAACCCTCGGCTTCCAATCCACAAGGCACCAGTTTTGGAATCTGTTTCACACCCCGGGCAAAGGGAACTGAGAAGAAAACAAGAAGCAGCAGGATGCTTCGTCTGGTGAGAGGCCCATCCTGCTATCAATCCCAAGGTCGTAAGGTTTGGAAGTCACAATGAGCTTATGACTGAATGCTTTCTGTTACACATCGACCTCAAAAAATGCGGCACTATCCGTGAAGGGTTCAAGTCACCAATCCTCCGATCCTCCAAGTTGATCCCCTCTTGCCTGCATTGCGGGCGGGGAGCTTTGCAGCGACCACTGCGCGAACTTTGCAAATTTGAGCTGAGGCCTGGGCTTCTCGACCGTACCAGTTCTGCACCTCAGCCGGTGCGTCAAAAGGCTTCAGGGGAAGACCAACACGAAACCCATTTGGAGGAGTTAGTGCCCAGATTCTCCTGGCCTTTCCAAGCCGGTCAAAGGACTTTGGCCTCACGAATTCTTTGACTCATTTCATACCAAAATAATGCTCACCTGTTCCGCCTTTTCCTGGGATCACTGACAAATCTCCACCAATGTTGGATAGCGGAGTAGTTGGATTCTCTCCGCCGCCCGACCCCACGGCAGTCGGGGGTGGCACGTGATTCGAGAGCCAGGAGTGAGTGAAGACCGCATAGCCAGGAACCTCTGCAAGGGGGGGAAAAAAAAAGAAGAAGAAAAAAAACGAGCAGTCGAAGATCCCAGGAAATGCATTCGCTCTGCGCTTCTTGCTGAGACGAAAAGGAAAGGGCTCCAACATGTGGACCAAGCAATCGCTGTTCTTGTCATGTTATTCCATTCCCTTTGAAGGCTCAAATTCCAGGGTCACTTAAGCCACAATGCAACCTCGCTCAGCTTCCCTGCGTCATAGAGTCTTCCGTGCACCGTGACGTTGCGCCGCCCGAGGTGCTGCGCAGACATCAAGGCAAGCAGGCGTTGTGACAGGTCCCTTTAACCTGTTTTGGGTGGAACCCTCTTTTCACTAGTTTTACAGGGAAACCAAAATGAAAACCATAGCCATATTGTGTCTGTATATATATATATATATATATATATGTGTGTGTGTTGGTATATAGCCAAATATCCTTTGAAAGTGAATCACTCAGCACGTTGATCATGGGTACATGCGTCTGTGATAGCTAGTGTTCTTTTGTTTGGGGGGGGGGAAGAAAAAAACACACATCGAAGCCTCAAACACGGACATTCCTTGTCACATGCCACGCACAATAAGTGCTCATTCTATGGAAAAGTCGGGTCATCTCCTATTTTGGGGCAACCGAGTGATTGCAGTGTCCTCCCAAAAGGATCGTGATTCTGGTGTTAGTTGTTCACTGCGGAGCAGATTCCAGTTGCATCTCCGGACTTTGGACAGCCAGCACGCCGGCCATCATTTCACGCGAGGTCACTCAGAGGCCACTTTGGATCTCCACCTCCATTGATGAGCTGCAGGTTGGCTTCCTGCAAGTTACCCCGCTTCAAATGGGCGTCTGTCATGTTTTGATGGTACCCTTTTGAGGGTTGGCTTAGAAGGAAACCAAGAGGAGCCGCCCATTTGCAGTCCAAATGATCAAAGCCATCAACCCGCGCCATTGGCCAAGGGCTACTGGTTGTGCACAAGGCATTGTAAGATCAAGCAGCCAGCAAGCGGAGCCCATGCCTCCATGCCACCTGCTTTGTGGAGCATGCGTGCATGCATGCTAGAAGCCATGGACGGACGCCTGGACAGTATGCTGCTTCGCAACCGCGTCATCCTTCGTTCTCCTGCGCATGAGATAAGTCATAACCATCACAGGAGTAGAGCTTAAAGAATAGAAGAGCCCGCCGCTCTTCATGCGCTTGGGAATGCTGCCCACCTACCTCCCAATTCCCAATTTCGAATTTGGCTCAGATCGCATCCAGCCATGCAAAAAGCCTGACCTGCCATCTTTAGGTTGCCCGCAAGCAATGTGTTGGGCTCCGCCTCTTTGCCTCATTTCACTCACATGAATTTGCCTGGGGAATTTGCGAAGAACCGAAATCCCCATGTCCCCTTTAAGTGGGTCAAAACCCATGCCCCGATGTCCCGGAAAGCCGAAGACCCATCCTGGTCGCACGCATCCTCTGGCTTGGTGCACAGGAAGATCCAGAAGTGACTGGCCACTTTTGAATTAGAGACCCTTTAGTCGTACAAATCCCATGGTGTTTTTGTCTGTCTTCAGGGCGTTCCTTGTTGCCTGGTAAAAGAACAACCTGTCAAAATCAGAACCTCACATGGTAAAGCTCAAAAACACCAAAAGCAAGTCAACCAAACATGCTTGAAGGATTGCTACACTCCCGGGTGCGGGAACTCATTGACATCCACGTCTGCCATTGGCACATTGTACCTTGCCACATCCACGCGCAAAACTCTGCATGACTACTCCCACTTGAATTAGCTTCGAGCTCGTTGTTGACTGGCGTTCTTTTTTGGACAAGCCCAATGCAAGACCTCGAAGGGTATACATACTTTGGCGTGCCCCTCTGGCGGCAAGAAACAGCTCTGCGCCTGCCACCACTTTGAGCCTTTACCAGATTTTACGAGCATGTGGCCTTTAAGAGCATGTTGCCAGCTGCTCAGCCTATGTTGCCGTACTAATAACCGGTACTGTGGATGGACAACAACCTGCAGGTGGTTTATCCCAGTATTCATAGGGTTCATCCATCCCAACTGGTACAGGATGTGTTCATCCACAGCATGCCTCATCCACGGCCCACGGCCCGGCGCCTTGCATCCGCCGCCTACGGGTTCCAGTTCAAATGCCCGGGGTCCATTTTTTTCCTGTGAGAAGCGCGGGCGCCAGGAATCTAAAGCAACATATCGATGCCTTTGGCTTCCTTTAGAAGACTTAAAAGAAACCGGGTTTTTTGGTGCCAGAAATCATCCCCAATGCAAGACAGCGCCATGAGACGGCTACATCACCGAGCCTCGACCTCTTCTTCTGCACCTGGCGCAGTGCTTGCTTCTTCCAGATTGATCATAGTCAGCATTTGGTCACAAAACGCAGGACACCAACCATAAGAGGGTCAATGCCGCGCCTGGTCTCTGGACAGGCATCTTCGCCACCTGGGCTTCATGCATGCAGAGCATTCCTGTCACTGCGACGTCGCAGTGCCTCGACTTTCCAGCGCCGCGAAGAGTCCTGGTCAAGCCCCAACTGATGACGCTGGGCAAAGAAACTGCCAACCTAACTGCTTCTGAGTGACTATGAAAACAAGAACGCATTTTCTGGCCTGTCGTCTCTAGTGTCTCTGTCTGTCTCTGTCTGTCTGTCTCAGTCGTCGCAGCTGAGGCGTCCTGCACCAGGTGTGGCAGCCGCTGTGCTGGCCCCGAGTGCGAAACCAGCAAAAAGACCTGCCATCAAGCGTCGTTGAGGGGAGCAGTCCACAACAAGAAGAAGTTGTTCAAACACGGGGGACCAACTAAATGGGCTTGGGGTTCCCTTTGGCTTCGCTGTGAAGTCAACCCCCAAGAGGGTGGCCCCAAACAACAGTTTTGACCGTGCATCCTTTTCCGACCCTTGAGGCGCATGCTCCACCAGGCTTCAGAACACGGTAAACCTCCGACATGTACGCCTGGCCCAGCATTCTCTTGCCAAGCAAAGGCATGGTCGAACAGTGACCTGAAACTGGCTGACTGGAAATCTTCCATTTGCTCATTTGCTCGTCTTGTGCCAAGCTGGCCACCCATGTCCTGCACATTTGCTCCTTTCCTGCACATTTGGCCGTTCAGGAAGAAAACAGAACAGCTTCTGATCTCCGATGGCCTGAGCGCGGACGCTGGCAGAGCAAAGAATCGTGTCGAAAGTCGCCTGGGCGAAAGCGCAACCCTCCGAGATCTGAAAATATTTCAAGACACACCTGGGCTGTGCCAGTCCCAGCATTGTGGCAGCTTGAACGCACATTCAAGGCATCCACCGCTCAATCTTGCCTTGTTTGCAAGTTAAATTACATGCAACAAAACACGCCTGCAACTTGGGTATGCTCAACACCCAGCCTTGTCCAGCACAACATGAAAGCACTCATCCGGGAAGTTGAGGTCGCACGCGTCCATCTCAGCAATGTCGTGTGGCAAATCATGCATAAGGCAGCGCTAAACGGCATGGAAGCAGGGAGGTGTCACCAAAACATGCAACTGCTGGTGACTTGGGGGGTCTAAGGGCCGCTGCCGCGCAGCCAACCCGCGCAGCCGACGGCACAAATGACACCGAGGAGCTGCCAATCAGTGGAATGGTTGGAATCCTTTCAAGCCCTTCAAACGTTGGGTGTGAAGGAAACCAAAGGCACCTTGTGGTCCCCTGGAACCCCAACATACAGATTGGCCAAATTCACTGATTCGGGTTGGGTCGCAACCAAGCCCTGGATCCCAATTCAAAAAGGAGAACCATCAGGCCGTTTCCTGATCTTATCAAGGCCACCGAAGTGGCAAGTTTAAAGAAAGAAGCTTCAGCTGACTTCGAGAAGCCCCAGAAACAGTCAATCATGACGCTCATCCTTGTCATTCGTGGGCGCAGCTCCCCTTCCATTCGGTGACAGCGCCCAGCGCCCACGGCTCGAGCCACCCGATGCGGGCCTGAAGGAACTGCAGCGCCTTCTTGCCCCGATGCTGCTCCCGGCACTTGGCCAACCTCACCGCCTCCGCCTGAGGAATGAGCAGTAGCAGTAGCAGTAGCAGTAGCAGTAGCAGTAGCAGTAGCAGTAGGAGTAGCAGTAGCAGTAGCAGTAGTAGTAGCAGTAGCAGTAGCAGTAGCAGTAGCAGTAGCAGAAGCAGTAGTAGTAGTAGCAGCAGCAGTAGCAGTAGGTAGCAGCAGTACTAGTAGCAGTAGCAATAGCAGTAGCAGTAGCAGTAGCAGTAGCAGTAGCAGTAGCAGTAGCATTACCAGTAGTGGTGGTGGTGGTGTTGGTAATGGTGGTGGTGGTGGTGGTGGTGGTGGTGGTGGTGGTGGTGGTGGTGGTGGTGGTGGTGGTGGTGGTGGTGGTGGTGGTGGTGGTGGTGGTGGTGGTGGCAGCAGCAACAGCATGGGAGGATGCTGCACACACTGTGCTGTTAAAGCTGCCACCTGTTCGCTAGATCTGATTTAGACTGCCCTAAGCAGCAGCTGCAACAGCAGCACTTGCAGCAGTAAAGGCAGTAGAATGTACAGGCAGCTGTAGCGACCCTTTGCAGATAGTGTTGGAAACTGAACGGAAACCAACCAAAGGGGGTAGGCATTCTTGGAATTCCCGGATGTGGGTCACCATCCCCTGAAAAGTAAAATGGACCCTAAAGAATTGGTAATTGCCCCAAAAGGAGTATCTTGCATAAAATGGTACTTGGCTTTCCATGCCCAGTTTCAGGGGAGAAACCGCTTACTGCCAGCCTTGCCGCCAAAAGTGGTGTTGCTAAACTGCAAAATCGGATTGTGACCTTTCTCCTGGTAACCCACACCAAAGAGCCAAACACGCTACACAAAGCTTGGGCGGGATTTTGGATATTCACAGGCGTCCGCGCTGAGCTGTCGATGGCCGTCACCAGCTCCCAGCCACCCTCAAAGAGCTGCAGGGGCATCTGGCGGCACCGTCCAAAAAACAACTAGCAGAGGATAGCTCTTGGTCAGCAAATCAACTTGGTGCTTTTGCAGCCGGCAAGAAATGGAGAGAACCACGGGAGGGCTGGGATCCTTACCTGCAAAGTTACCTGCATCCAAAGGAATGTGCAGGATTCTCCCAGAGGGTGCCTTGTTTGACTGATCTGTTTACTTCTCTATCTACTTGTTGATTTTTTCACTGATCTCTTTATTATATACATATACCAAAGGAACCTGCCCCAGGGTACGTGGTTGAGCCCGTTGATACCAATGGCGAACTGGGACTTCATTCGCAATGACCAATAATTGAGCCTTAATCAATCCGTACTTGAGAAAAACATCCGGGGCGGCTGATATTGAGTCACTGCCATGTTGTCACCTCGCCTACCCCAAGGAGCCCAGGATGGCCACTCCGGGTCCTTTTGCTTGAACCCTCTCGCCACTGAAACTAAGTGGCCTGGGATCCCTTCCGGTTAATTTCACGGGGAAAACCTGAAACCCAACTCCGCTTTGGATCCCCGCACAGCTTGCCCTATGCGGATGTCACTCTCTTTGAAGTGTCCCTTTCCACTTGATTAGAAGGGTTTTCCGTTTCCCTATTCGGGGGACAAACCTCTTTGAGAGTAGGGAAACTTCGCGACCAAATTGTGGGGCCTCAGACATGCCGAAGCCCACATCCAAGATCTCAGGGCTCGAGTCTGGCGTGGGAAGCCTCAGGAGTCGCCGCGAATGCCTGCAGATCGGTGCGTCTTTTTGCGGGTAGGGGTGGCTAAAACGGAAGTTGCAGGGAAACCACCAATTTTGTGGGTCCCTATTTGGAGACAAACCTGAATGCGCCGATGGCAAGAAGTGCTGTTTGACCGGTTGGTCTGCGCCCACAGCAGTAAGCATCCTGCTCCAAATTGAAGATCCCCCGCAACCTGGCAGAAGGCTGAATGTCGCAAAGAACAAGTCGCAGAACAGCTCCTCACCCTTTGAGTCTTCTGCTTGCCCGTTTTTTCCCAAAGACCGCGGAGGCAAGAAATCAGTGATCACTTTTCTTCCGAAGTGATCCTCATCGCAGTTTTCTATTACCATGGGTCGATTACAAAAGGGGGCATTGCTCTTAACCACCCCCTTCACAGCCCATGCCTCGAGAAATCCACATACCAGTCATAGAAGGCGCCGCCTCCTGAAAGGAGGAATTCAACGTATGGCGGTATGTGTAAAATCGGGGAACCCCCAAAGTAGTGTTCTTTTTGGCTTCCCTTTCAACCACGCTGGAAAAGGCACCCTCAAAAACACAGACACACACACACACACACACACACCCAGGCAGACTGCCTTTGTATTAAAATCAAGGTGTCTCCTAACGCCTGCGCCATAATAGGTGTCTCCACAAAGAGGGGGTATTTCGGATGGTTGCCCTATGGTTGCCTTATGGTTGTTTGAAAGCAATCCAAAAGGGGTGGTAAATGTTTTTTGGACTGCCACTTGCATCCGAGGTCGTCATACAAGACTTTCATGGCCGCATATGTTGCAAGTCTGGTCGGTGTCAACCAAAACCTCCAACATGCTTCACTCGGGGCATTCGCGGAAAGGACTCGGACAAAGAGCCGCAGTCTATTTAGCTTATAAGCTTGCAAGACCAGCAGCCAAAACTCCTATTTGCCCAGCCAGCAAGATCCAACCACGTCTACCATAGAATCGCCCCCACAAGCTGCCTGCGCGCTGATAGCGCCTGTCCCAGTACACGACCTGTGCGCAGCTCAAGTCCATCGAGCACGGCGGAAGGCCGATGCTTCGCGCAACGCGGACACGCGCTCACGCCACATGCCTTCACCGCGCTAAGCCCTCGGCCCCCAATTTGGGATCTGCGAAGGGAGGAAGCTCGGTCTGGCCTGGATCTGGAGTGTGCGGTCTTGGGCTCTGCACTGATGGGATTTGGTGGTTCCTGGCTTCCCTTCAAAACCATCTGAAAGGAGTTCCCCATGTTGGGATACAATGACACATCTATATATATATATATGCATATATATATATATATACACATGTATAGTTTATGGATTTAGTCATTTATACCGGCTATGCACATGTCTCTCCACCTTGCAACAGCTGTCACAGCTTCACCCCGTCTTTCTTATCCCCATTGCAGGATCCCAAGAAAGTGGGCAGAAATCGCTGATGGTGTCGACTATATAGCAGCCTCGGAATCCAAAGCTAGGCCTTCGCACGGCGCGGGAGGCCTGGCAAAGGACCCATGGGAAATGGGAAGAATGTAGCACAGGGACCGACATGACCAAATTCGCTCAACTGCCAATCTGAACTTTGGACATGAAGACCTAAAGTTCGCTGTCTCAGGAGCCTCCAAGCATCACCTTTGTCAGGGCTACAAAGCCATCTCCCCTGCCCGCTTTCCCCTGGCAAACTCTGCAAGGACCCCCCCTCTCATGACCAACCAACAGCCTCACGGCGCCCAAGCCTCCAACCTCAGAACCAAAGTTGGGAGACCTCAGCGCGAAGAATTTCGGGCCGCGGTTCAACGCGTACATAAGGCTTGGCCCCTTGGAAAGAAGGCGCAACATAAGCAGAATCAGGTGTCCGCTTCAACCCAAGCAGGCCCCTTGCACCAAGCCATCACCAAACTTGTGCGACAAGGTTTGTGAAGCTTACCTCTGACTTGGGTATGTGCCCCTGCACTTTTGTGGAAAAAAGGGGCTTCCTTGTTTTCAGTCGTTCAGCCAGATCCTGGCCCCTTGGCAAGGGAACCAACAGGTGGTTGCAATTCCACAGGTGGCCAGTTGGCCATGCTGGACAGAAAGATCATAACTGAGCAAGCGCCGACAGACATGAAGGAAGCAACACCGTCCAAGGTCTGCAAAGCAACGGTCGGTTGATGTTGGCCATGCAAGCTGGTCTCCAGCACTCGGCAAGCACTGAAGATGGAAAGACCGGCAACTCTCGCAAAACTGACATCCTCAAAAACCCCCGCCTGACAGAGGCCATGGCCAGGCATCTTCGAGGCTGTCGACCACTTCAACTAGAACAGAAAAAAAATGATGTCTGCATTTTAAGGAACCCGAATGTCACACCTCGCGGTGGGCTGCAGTTTTCCCTCAAAAACCTCGGGGCAGCGTTCGTGCTACGTTCGTGCTTTGCTTTGTGTTTCTGGTACTGCTATTGTCCCCGAGAACGGCTACCTTGATGACATGGCGCAAGTGGGCCGCAGGCATTCTGCAACTTCAACACCTTGCGCTCGTCTACCGTCTGAAGGCTGAATGCTTGGTGCGGGGTATGCAGCAACGGTTCGAGCCAGCGCCGCGGCCAGGTCCTACTGAGATCCTGGACTCCAGGAGCAACATGCTTCCCATCAGTGTAATGTATGTCCCGGGTGTAGACAAAACTCCTTCATCACTGCTTCTCATAACCTCTACATCTCAATCAGACCTCCAGTGGAGAAACCTGAGGCTGCACTTTGATTCCCAAGGGAAACCCATCCCCATCCCAGAATGAAAAAAAAAACCGGGGGAACGAAGCTATGAGACACTGCTGCAGGCAGGCCGCACCTCCAGAAGGCTCTGTGGGCCATAGAAGAGCCTCGCAGAACAGCCCCTCTCAAGCGACAGATTCCGGGGGGTGCTGAACTGGGGTTGCAGGGTGGTAGTTCTGTGGTGGTGGCGCTGGTAAGCCATTTAGCGCCCAGGCCCTGCGAAGGTGTGGCTCGGCTTTAACACCGAACCTCTGGTTTTGTCTCCAGAATAGGCGATGTCCCTTTTGCTTCCCTGTGTTTAAGCAATCCAACTAAAAGGGTACCTTCAACGGATACACACAGGGTAGGTGTAAAATCTAGGGACGGCTAGTGGTCCAGTTTCAAAGAAAAACAAAAGGAGGCCAATCGTCCAGGGGATCGAAGTATGGACACTCAGCCACGCAACTCGACTCTGGTAACATGCATCATTCTGCGCGCACCAAAAGACTGTCAAGCTGGTTCATGGCTGTTGCAAGCAGGGCATTGTGAACAAAACGCACAGGCCCATGCAAACCGCGCGTATTGGACAGGCCAAGCCTAAGCAAGGCGGCTGAGCAAAAAAGACTTCTGCAAATAGAGCCCGGTTTGGCGCAAACTGCCGGTTTTGGTAGGCAAATCTGCCGCAAGTGTCTAGGCGCCCGCGCTTTTGCCAGCCCAAGCGGGCGCCTTTGCCCATCGATCTGTGTCAAAACAGGCCAAAAGTGGGTGTTATGCTAGGCTTTCCTCGAACCCAAGCGCAAAGGGTATGCTCAAACTCACACCCATGCCTTCAGTTCGCATGGCCGGCTGATGAAGTACAAGCATGCTCAAAGGCTGATTGTATGAACCCATCTATGAGCCGTTTCGGGCCCCTTGGGTGAACAAATGGGTAGTGCTTAACTAACCCATAAATGTTGGGTTCTACAGTGTTTTGCAACCTTGCACATGACGGAAGGCCACTTTGGTGGGCAAACCCTCATCTGGCAATTTTTAGGAGTTCATCCAACACTGCTCTGGGCAAAGAGGCTTTGGGACATGGCAATAGGGATGTCCCACACATGCACGGCTGTGTGTCAAAATCGGGGACACCCCGCCAGGAGTACCAAACCTTTATCACTTCCCATTTCTTTGGTTTCTCTGTTTTCTAACTTTCCTTTATAACTTCCCTTTATAAACCAACCCCAGCAGTAACTTCCCTTTTTGCTTAACTTCCCTTTTTGAACCAACCCCAAAAAGGCTACGACCCCGCGCAAACACTCCTCGCAGCCCCCCAAAACCCCAAAGTCCCGGAGGTGCGGTTGGCCTGCAGCAGCCACGTTGGTGAAGTCCACAAAGGTGGTCCAGTCCACATGCCCAGCGCCTCAGACCGACAGAAAGCAGCAGGGCCCACTCTCTGTTCGCCATCGGTTTTTGCGTTGTTTTTGTTTATTGTTTTTTTTTTTTTTTTTTTTTTGCGTGGTTTGTGTGTGTGTGTGTGGTTGTGTCTGCTTCTGGAGTTGGTCTTTTTGGTGGGCGTGTTTTAGTGTTTCAAAGGGAAAACCCTCCCTTTGCGAGAGTGGGGAGGGGGGGGGGTTAGATTGACACATATCCATGATACGAGCAACCGGCGACATAACCCCACCAATCTGCAACACCGATCGAGGCCCACCCGAGCGCCTCATCGGGAACATTGATCCCTCAATGCGATGAAACGGCTCGTTTGGTCACAAGGCTGGCCTTTTGCCTATGCCCTCTGCCTATCGCTATCAACCATAGTCATTGGAATATCATCTTGAGGCACCTTGAAAACAGAGACACCCAAAGGCACCATCAACATACTCCTGCTACATGAGGTTGGCAGGCAGCTCTTTCCCATTGTCCATCGCTGCAATCAGAATACTTTGACCGTGCCCCCACCCGCAAAGCTGTGAAGTTTCGACTCATTTCCCCACAACCTGTCGCGATTGTTCGTTCACTCCAGGCATCCACACACTGAGGCCAATAGCTGTAGCAGTCTGGCAGGCCCTGCGCTGGGTGCGCCCCCGCATGAATGGGACTCCTTCCTAAGTGGACAACCCCTGAATCGACCGCGTGCAAAACTGTAGGCTCAAGCCGCACAACAGTTCGCTCAAGTAGACAGGTCATGTCCTTTTTCGTATAGGTTGCGTCAACTGCGAGCCATGACTTGGCGAAGCAAGCCCGCAACCAAGCCCTAGCCCTCTGCAAGGCTCACTAAGGCTACCTGTTGCTGCATCTGCATGTCACCATACTCATTTTGGCTCAAGGTACACTTCAGGCCATAGCTTCACAGCTGGCCTTTTTGCGTAAACAAGCCACGGAATAACCGGCTGAGGCCTTTGACCAAACAACAAACACCTCTGTCAACACATTGTCAGTAGACTGTCAAGGACTCGGCAAAACTCCAGGGAAAAGAAACCATCATGAGTGCTCCTGTTACCCTGCTAAGATTGCCATTTTGAGGTGGTGTGGGGCGTGCGCTGATTTGCTCTCCGCAAAGGCGCGCCTCGATGAGATCCTGAGGCACTGGGGGGATGAAGATGCCATCGCTGCCCACGTCCGCACTCATACTCTGGCCCAGCGCCTGGATTTGCTTCTTCATCTCAAGCAAATAAAACCAGGGGGAGGCCTTTTGGAACAATAGATGGGTTCCCTAGTAAATGGAGCAAAACCCATCTAAACCAGGGCCATCTATGTTTAACCCGGCTCACCTAAAAAGGACACCTATGGGGCGAGTGTGGATGGTGCAAAATCTAAAATATTTGGCGAATGGGGATGACTAACCAAAGCAGAATAGTGCCATCTACTTGCACCCACCCAACTGCATGGCTTAAACAGCACCTTTGGGCTTGCTCAACATTCAAAGGATTTACGTGACTATATATATACACATACATACACATACATAGTATGTTATTTGTTTCTCTTAGCCAAGGGCAAAAATGAGTGATGGTTCCAAACGTCAGTTGGCTTGTTTGCCAGGGAACCCAAAGGGAAACTGCTCCGGTGTGGTTCCGACATACAAGGGGGGCTGTAATGTCCCTTCAAAATCCCAGAAAGGGTGCCCTCAAAGAAAAACACCGCCATTTTCGTGGCAACCACTTTGGAAGATTCCAAACCTGCAAAAAAGCACCCGGCCATGATCCCCCCAGCGCGAACCTTTTCAAATCAAAAGCTTGCGCCCTCGCATGCCCTTGGGCAGGGGGCAGCCTGCTTTTTGCAGGCCCAACAACTGTCTCAGGCTTTCGCACCTGGTTTCGGTGCCAGGGTCTCTCAGCAAAAAGCGCTGTGTTCTGGAAATGTCTGACACCTCCGTCTTAAACGTCCTCAAACCAAGGAGCCAAGGTCAGCCTTCAACCAAAACCTCTTCAGCTCAAAGATCTCAGCCCCTGTTGAGATGTTGTCCTTTGTCAAACGAGGTCCTTTACTGGACCCTGGCACCTCAAACGACAATGTCCTTGGACAATATTGGACAGCTTGAGGGGCTCCATCAAGTGATGTCTTTCACACCCGGCTAAGAATCCAGTGTGCAGAACACACACAAAATCAAGGAGCAACACAACTGCAACAGCTGTTTCTCACTTCTGGAAGGAAAGTTTTGACGTGTGCCTGCATTAAAACATATGCGGCGCTCGGATTGTTGATCCAAGTGCACACGGGGCGCGTGCTTGCGCAAAAATAACGCCCAAGATGGCCTGCGCTCACTCACATGCGGGTGTCTTTGGCCCCAAAATGTGGTTTCCCTTTGAACTCCATTGAATGCATCCAAAAAAGGGCGCCCTGTGCATCAGGACGTGACCGGACCATCTGGCAGCCATGAATGAAATTAGGAAGGTGTCCTGTCTGACCGGCTACGTCAAGCCAGAACCTCGCTTGGTTGTCTCATTGCAAAAGGAAACCCGTGTCCAATGTGAATCCCTACTTTTGACACATGAGCATCTGGACATTTGCACATGAGGCAGATTGCAAACCTGGAACCCTTCGAACTCCGTCCCATTCTGTAGGCAGGAAATATAGGCACTTGTTTCTTGCTCACAAGATTGAGGGACTCACCCATCGGATCCTCAACCAACATCGGGGAAACCCCACCCCGATTTACTCTATGTCCCAAACCCGGACTTCGAGGGAGGAACCCTGAAGAACGCCTCTGGAAATGACCCCTTCCCACGAAAAAACTTCGCAACCCCGAAGAACCCTTTGGCGACTTGGGGCAAGTCCCACCTCTCCGCCCCATGCGCTTGCCTAGGGCGACGTCTCCTCCACGCCAAGTGGCAGCTCCGGAGTGTTCACCGCCTTCGACGCCTGCGCCGGTCTGCCGCAAAGGCCGGAGCAGGCATAGCGCCAACGGGAGGAATCAAACCGCATGAAATTAAACAATCCAAGAAACACGTGCCTCTGAGCAATCGCTCCAGGGAATTCGGAATTGGACACAGGGAGCGGAACAAGATGACTCTGCGTGGAATTGCGGAAATGTTGAAGAATTCCACTGCCCCTGTGGCTGTAGGCTAGTGGATTGTGGCGAAATCGGTGGTGTATCTTCCCTTTCAGCCAGTCTTGCAAAGGCAGAACGCAACATTGCCAGCCCCGGCCTCAAGCGAAAAGAGACTTTGACTTCGGCTCTCCAAAGATTGCTTGCCTGGGAAAGTGTCATACAAAGCGCTTGATTCACGCAAGCAGCCATCAACCTTCATGACAATTCAAAGCAGTCAAGCACGCGCTTTCGTCTCGCGCCATTGCATCCACAATGCTTAAAGTGCGCAATTGGCTGGCCTGGTCACAGCTTCTTCCGGAAGGTCGATACTCAATGCGTGTGGAACATTTCTGCACGCGACTCCTTGCCAGGATCGACTGCGCAATTTGTGCCAGGTCCGCATGCTTGGTGGAGCGCCTGACACCGCTCACAAGCTCAGCAGCATCCGCGAAAAGCGTCAAGCGCGTCAAGTCGTCTGCCATCGTGCGGGAAAAGTCGAATATGTGCAATTCGGCTGGTTAAGAACAACTGCACAGTCTTTTCTTCGCAGCTGACAGCGATTTGCCCTGGGGCAGCGAGATTGGAGACTCGAACCGCTACGACAACCTGCGACTGTCAGGATCCTTTGTGCGACGTCGTGGCGGGCCCAGTCTGCCACAACTGCCTCCATCCACAGAAACGATTACAGATCCAACTGTGTTCGTCCAGAGATTGCGTGCGGACTGCCATGGCATCCGCCTCAAGCCTAATCCAGCACCGCCCTCAACTTTCCGCCCAAACCAACAAAGTCTTCACCCCACTCTTGCCCCCAATTCCGGTGCCATGAGACAGTCCAACGGATTGATGCTTCCGACGCATCTCTTCCACGCAACCAATATAGTTCCGTAGTTGTTTTCCGCTCGTCGATCGTGCCGTGTGTCTCTTCAAGCTTTCATAACGTGTGTGTGTGTGTGTGTCTCTGTGTGTCTCTGTGTGTCTCTGTGTGTCTCTGTGTGTCTCTGTGTGTCTCTGTGTGTGTCTGTGTGTGTCTGTGTGTGTCTGTGTGTGTCTGTGTGTGTCTGTGTGTGTCTGTGTGTGTCTGTGTGTGTCTGTGTGTGTCTGTGTGTGTCTGTGTGTGTCTGTGTGTGTCTGTGTGTGTCTGTGTGTGTCTGTGTGTGTCTGTGTGTGTGTGTGTGTGTGTGTGTGTGTGTGTGTGTGTGTGTGTGTGTGTGTGTGTGTGTGTGTGTGTGTGTTGTGTGTGTGTGTGGTGTGTGTGTGTGTGTGTGTGTGTGTGTGTGTGTGTGTGTGTGTGTGTGTGTGTGTGTGTGTGTGTGTGTGTGTGTGTGTGTGTGTGTGTGTGTGTGTGTGTGTGGTGTGTGTGTGTGTGTGTGTGTGTGTGTGTGTGTGTGTGTGTGTGTGTGTGTGTGTGTGTGTGTGTGTGTGTGTGTGTGTGTGTGTGTGTGTGTGTGTGTGTGTGTGTGTGTGTGTGTGTGTGTGTGTGTGTGTGTGTGTGTAGTGTGTGTGTGTGTGTGTGTGTGTGTGTGTGTGTGTTGCGGTGTGTGTGTGTGTGTGTGTGTGTGTGTGTGTGTGTGTGTGTGTGTGTGTGTGTGTGTGTGTGTGTGTGTGTGTGTGTGTGTGTGTGTGTGTGTGTGTGTGTGTGTGTGTGTGTGTGTGTGTGTGTGTGTGTGTTTGGGTGCGTGCGTGCGTGCGTGCGTGCGTGCGTGCGTGCGTGCGTGCGTGCGTGCGTGCGTGCGTGCGTGCGTGAGTGCGTGCGTGCGTGCGTGCGTGCGTGCGTGCGTGCGTGCGTGCGTGCGTGCGTGCGTGCGTGCGTGCGTGCGTGCGTGCGTGCGTGCGTGCGTGCGTGCGTGCGTGCGTGCGTGCGTGCGTGCGTGCGTGCGTGCGTGCGTGCGTGAGTGCTTGCGTGCGTGCGTGCGTGCGTGCGTGCGTGCGTGCGTGCGTGCGTGCGTGCGTGCGTGCGTGCGCGTGCGTGCGTGCGTGCGTGCGTGCGTGCGTGCGTGCGTGCGTGCGTGCGTGCGTGCGTGCGTGCGTGCGTGCGTGCGTGCGTGCGTGCGTGCGTGCGTGCGTGTGTGTGCGCGTGCGTGCGTGCGTGCGTGTGTGCGTGTGTGTGTGCGTGCGCGTGTGCGTGTGCGTGTGTGTAGGATTTGCGGAGTTGCGCGGTGCTTCGCACAATCCGAAAACCATCCTCAACCTACCATAGCCCGCCCGCCCGGAGCCTACCCAAAACCGTAAGTAATGCGTGGCACGCAACATAATCTCAACTTACATCCAGCCCTGCGCCAACCAAAAAATAACAGTCCTATCAAAGGTCCGCAAGCACCTGAGGCACTGGTGGGAGTCCCAGAGATCAGAACCCCATCCCATTCCATGTATAGGACAAAGTCGAAAGCCTCTGGAAGTTGGATAGATGCGAGGCGCAAGGCGAGGGCTGAGGGCATGAATTGAGACCGGAATTCAAACCAAGCAGATTAAGAGTCATGCGCAACCTTACAAGAGGAATACTGAGCCAATGCTTGTTTCAAGGTCTTATGATCTGCCCATGTGTGTGTCTACGCATATCTTTATTTGTCTCCACGTTCCCTGGATACGCTTCGCATGGTGCCGTACCAGCAAAATTGGAGTGCTGGTCGCTCTCTCTCTCTCTCTCTCTCTCTCTCTCTCTCAGTACAGGCTCATTTGCGACAAGAACGTTCCACTGAGGGCAGTGCCATCCCTGATCTCGTTTGTGCCCTAGCGCATGCTCCCAGCAAGGCTCTTGCAACATCGGAACACACCCTGCTTGCAATGCAGGCAAGCATTTGCGCTACTGCTGAACCTGCCTTTGTTGCTTTGACCTTTGAACAGTTCTCAGGGTTGATTCCCACTTCATGTCACCAATTTTTCCGTGAAGGCCCGGGATAAGCTTGAGGTCCCTCAGCCATGCCCGGAGACTCCGGGCAATGCATGTTGCCAAGTTGGAAGCCAGGGCGGTTGCAACGGTTGCAGCTCATCACAATCCATGTGTCAGCAATCCACGGCTGTCCTACCCACTTCAATACGGCTTGGCAAGCATGCGGCTGGCAGCCCCTGTCCTGCGAGCGAAGCCTTGGCGGTTTGAAAGGTGCCACATCCTCCAA